TCTCCATCATCCTGTTCCGATCTCACGATCATGGTCATCACTCATTCGTCACCATCTAATCACCCTCCACCCTTCTTCTCCTCCTACAATTCCATAGAGCACCCTATCACCTGAGTGGATTGCTCGAAATAAATCGCCAGCGACCTAGGTCGCAATGAGGATGGGTATTCCTCTTTGGAAAATTCCAGTGTATGACACTAATGGATTCACAATTTCAACAAGGCATTTTTCTTTAACCATTAAATATATGTTCTTTGGTATTGTTATTTACACTTCTTATTTAATTAGAGATAAGATGATTTTATGGCATGGAACGTGGTGGAGGTTATGATGCATGAAGGAAAACTTCATTGGTTGCCACCCTTTTTTATTTTGACCAGGTAGAGTCCATAAAGTCAAAAGGTCATTGTGTTTGTGTCGTTGTGTGTGTGACGACCGACGAGTGAGGATCCGGATGATGGGTTTAAGCCTATAAGAGGAAAAGTAAAGGTAAGCCTTTTGGGGTCTTGATCAATCATACCCGAAGCTCATTAATTTATTATACACCCATATTGAGTTACATGGCCTTGTAATAGGAACTAAGTTTTAAAAGCAAGCCAAATGTGTGAGCTTACTTTTCCGTTATGGTACTTTTTATCGTCTATCTTTTGATTTTCTTAAAATAATTCTATTGACGAGAACCTTGGTTTTTCTACCTTAATGATTTGAATTATCATCTGCAGATCCGGAGGAGGCATTCATGAATTCTAAGATTCTTAATTTGGTGAGCTATCAACTGAAAAAATTAAATAAAGTAGATGCAAGTTGATGACTAACCGCAATCAATTGTCTTTTACAAGTTCAATTGTTTCTTTACAAGACAATCAAATGAAATTAACTTGCTGTTGCAAGATGCTTTTAGGTCTCTGTGAGCTTAAATTTTGCAAACCGAAAGAAAGCTATTTTAATTTCTTTTCTACTCGCACAAAATTGCTAATGGAAATTTTCTTAACTATATTTTTTAGTTGGAATGATGATTGTAAAATTATTGGGGATGTTATACATATTGGTAACATTTACCTTGCTTTATATATCTTGTTATGATAGTGATTGATGTTAGAAAATTATAATCTTCAACGAGTGACTAATTCGATCTAACATTTTATTTCCGTAGTTCATTCCCAATGGCTTTTTAGCAAGATAAGCAAGGAGATCATGTAGGTCAAATTAAGAATTAGGATGTTGCCTTTATAGACTTTCTTGGTGTAGAAATATCTTAATTATGAAAGATATTATTTAAGCTTTAGTTTTATCATCATGATGAGCATAATCTTAGGCATCATCTTCCAATTTTTCCAATTAAAACAATATTGGTTAGATGTCCGGTTCATATATATTTAGCGAGTGCTTGATGAGTTCGAAGAAGCAAAAGAAAGAAGACAACTATATTTTTTTTCTTCGCTCATTTAGGACTTTCGATGTAGCTAACCGTGATTAGGTAGCTGCAAAAGATATTTCCTATATAAGGGCTTTTTTTTCTTACTCGCCTTTTTTTTTTATAGTAAATGGTGAAAATGATGGTGGCTTAGGACGGACAATGAAACGATGGTCCGGAATTTTTTTTTCAACAAAAAATTTCGGTTAAAACTAAAATATTTTGAAACCGAACTAAAATAATTTGGTTACAAATCGAATTTATCGAATTTATTTCAGTTCAATTTTGGTTTTTATTTTTCTTGATTCGATTAATCGAAAATCGAATCGAATCGTACAAAACCGAACCGTTTAATCGTTTGCTCACCCCTATTCACTCGGTGAACGTGGATAGCCCTAGACCATGGTGTGGTTGTTGTTGGATATGAAATAGAGAAAGGTTTGGATTATTGGCTTGTTAGGAACTCATGGGGTGTAGAATGGGGAGACCATGGATACATCAAGATGCGACGTAACTTCGCGACACATACACTAGCAGATGTGGAATTGCAATGGAATCTTTTTACTTAGCCAAGAACGACCGAGTCCTACTAAGCGTTACTTGGTTTATGAAAGAGTAGCTAAAAATATCAGCGAGTGTTTGAAGCATTTTATATGCTAGCTATATGAAGCAAAACAAGAATGCAAGGTGATTAAAGGTAACAATTGATGGTTGGTGAGATTGTGTGTTGATTTATCGTGTTGATCATAAGAATCGATTAAATTTAACAATTTTAAACCACTTCAATGAAACACTTTGTAGATGTTTCCTTCTTCTTTCTAAAAACCATAATCACGTATTTTGACAAGCAAAAAGTAGAAATATCATCATGTAAGAAAGCTCAACAAAAAGGTAGAGATATGTTCATGATTCATATTAGCAACCACGACGCTAGCAAAATGCTATATATGACAACGTCAACTACAAATTGAAGTCAACCTAGAAACGAGTTATCATTCAACTTATTATAACCTTAAGAAGGTGAAAAATTCAACCATTTACATCTCAAAAAATCATTAGTTGGATCATACAAAATTGGGTGTAACACTCGTTAAAATCAAGTCTTCTCTTCTTTTTTTTAAAAAAAAATTGCACTTCTCACAATAGCTTCATTGATACATTCACCATATTTTTTTAGGTCAAATCCTCAAAGTCAGTAGCAGACTCGAATCTCTCATACCGACCTTCCCACTACCTAAGAGTCGGCCTTTCTCTCAATACCTAGTGGTCGAAAGATGATGAAAGAGATGATGATAATAAGAACTATCTATTTTTTTTTTAGATTTTTAATGTTTTCATACACTCGAATGTACTTATATATTAATTTTATTAAATAATTTTTTTATTATAACAAGGTGTTATTTATCATTAACATTAAATGGCTATATAAATATGAAGTTTTTTATTTAACGATGGATCAACGATCGAATTACGATGGATATTGAAATAGTCACTATTTAGCGATAGAAATAATGGAGAATAACGGCAGCTTTATGAGAGATTTAAGACTTAAAAGAGATTGTTTATGTCAATTTAACAATAGAAATACTTCAAAATAGCAACAAATACTATTATTTTTCATCGCTAAAAAGATAATGACGATCATTTTAGCTTCAAAATAATTTAATCACAAATTCATTGCTAAAAATTAATAGCGGCAGAAAATATTGGTAGAGTGATAGAAAAGTCCGTCGCTATTTCGTAGTTTTTTTTTTAGCGACTTTTCTAATTTCCTAGCTTAAACTGTAGGAGGTTGGCTTGTACGAGTGGAAGAAATTTGGGGAAGGATATGCGTTTTGAATTTGGTATCATAATCTTTTGCTACTATTTAACACAATGATTGGATTATTGACATATTGTGGACTTTAAGCTGGCGACCAGACTTCAAAACTAAGCCAAGTAAGCAGAAGAAAATTTAAGGTGATGAAACTTTCACTTCACTTTTCTTGACAAAGAGAACAAATTTGCTTGGTACCCTTAATTTATTAACATCCTAAAATGAGGAATACTAAGATTTATACATAATATTTTCTATGACACAGCACTAATCTTATTGATTTACCCTCAATACAAGTATTGTTTGACTTTTAGAAATAATATTATATTGAATTGCAACAGTATAGGTTATTCCTAAAAGAATTACCTCTCAAGAACATGTTAAAAATAAACAACAAAATATATCTAATTTAATTTTTATTGTCCAATCATAACATCTTTGATGAACTTTTACGTCAATTAAAATAATATATTTTTATGAATAATCTTAAGAATAAATTTTTTTATATCAATTTAATGCATGTTTTGGAAAGTACGTTCCTTTGAGTACTAGATCTGAAATTACAATAAGAGAGATAAAAAATCTTCTTCTCACAAAACATAATTAAGGGCTAATATATATACACCTGTCATTTTTTGAAAATTATCACATGAAGTCTACGTGCAATTAATGTTAAATGACCTGATTCTAATTTCGTAGCTTAAACTATAGGAGTGCAACTTTAGTATGTTTAATGTTTGGATAATAATTAATGTTGTTTGGCATATGGTAGACCACATCACCTAGCTCCTTGCTAACATATATATAGGCGTTGTTTAATCCAATTATTAAAAGAGGAAGAATCCTGGTACGAGATTAATCCGGCCACCTAGCTGGAAGGAAAAAAATGCCATCGATATGGTGATGGTGCCATGTACGTGTGAATCAGGATCACTACAACCTGAGCATTCAAAGTTAGAAGGAGCAGTACGTACCTTGTTAGCCGCCAACTTTGGAAGTGTCGTAGTCTTACTTGAAAAATTTTATAATATACGAATAATAATTAATAACATGTATAATATTTATTTTATAGATTTATTTTGAAAAAAGAGATAGACACATTGAATTATATCCGTAATTATCAAAAGTAATAGGAAAATTTTTACGTTCACTTAATTTTTTTTTTAATTTTCTCTCTTTTGTTTTATATATATATGTATATTTTTTAAAATAGATCTATAAAATAATTATTTTATTTATCACTAGTTAGTTCTTGTATGTTATAAAATTTTTCATCTTAATTATAGGGTAAACTATGCTACATCTTTTTTCGGTCAGTTTTTTGACATTCATTGCACATAGACTTAATATGATAATTTTAAAAAATGACAGATGTACGTAGATTAGCCCTTAATTATATTTTGCGAGAACTCTGTTGTTCAAGAAGATTTTTTATCTGTCTTATTGTAATTTTAGATCTAGTACTCAAAGGAATTTACTTTCCAAAACATGCATTAAATTGATATAAAAAAAATTATTCTTAAGATTATTCATAAAAAAAATATTATTTTAATTGATGTAAAAGTTCATCCAAAGATATTTATGATTGGACAATAAAAATGTAAATTAGATATATTTTGTTGGCTATTTTTAACATGGGTTTCTTTGTGTTCTTGAAAGGTAATTCTTTTAGGAATAACCTATGCTGTTGCAATTCAAGATAACATTAATTGATTAACATTTACACATGATTAAATAATGGAATATGGTAATAGATGGTAAGTGGCGATAATGGGGAACCAAGAAATGGGTGAAGAAAATGGAGGCGGGAAGGATAGAGACAAGTTAATAAAGATGTGGGTATAAGCAACTTGGTTGATGATCATCAAAACAATAATACAAAGTCATTAACAAGTTGCATGCATGTAGACATTGAGGTTAGAAATCAAATGCTATGGGGCCCACTTCTTTACTCTTTAATCATTTTTTGGAATTGCATATGATAGTTTTTTTTTTAAAAAAAAATTATTAGTGGTAGTTACCATGAAGTACAAGTCCTGTCCGGTCCAATCAAATGACAAAATTTGTAATATTTTCATAGGAAGAATACAACTTGGATTTCTCTCTTTGATTTGTGTGAGAGATTAATGGAAGATTCCAAGTTTAGAGAAGGGTTTGGAACATGTTCACCTCTAGCTATCTGGTGGGGTAAGGATAAGTAATTGTATATGTATTTATAGAGGTTTTTCTTTATTTATTCTAATTTATGAATTTTTGTTTTCCGAATACGAAGTAAAGATGAGTAAAAATATATAACATGATGGAGTATAAAAACAGGTAGAATATCTTTCGAGTTTGATAAATATTCATATTTAGCGAAAACTAGTAATGAAAAAATTAATGTATATCGTTATTAAAAATCTATCCGATATCTAAGAAGGTGTATTTGCACGAAAGAGGTTCTAGTAGTTTAATTAAATGATTTCGATTTTGAGTCTTTGTGTACATAAAAAACTTTTTAGATAACCGTATCCGTTTTGTGCACCAACTAAATGAAGCTAAATTAATTTAGACTTTTAAATCTAGAATAATACAGAGATCCAAAAAAAAAAAAAAAAAAATCCACTCGATGAAGAAGATATAAAGGATTGAAAATTACCTATGATAATAATAACGAAGGTGGGTTTGAAAATTAAGAGGCTTTCATGGATGCATTATTCATTTCCATGAACTTCCATTGCCATACTACTTATACCTAGAATTGAGAAAAACAATTGCATATTGAGTATTAGTTTGTTGCATATATATTTTTGTATCAAAATAACCAAATTAACATGCACTTGCTTGAGATGGCTATGCAATTTGCTTGCTTTGAAGTAACACTTAGTCAAGATACATGTGATGATCACATACCAATGAAGTAATATTTTATCATACATTATTGTGAGATTCCTTGGTGGTGTTAAAGAAGGTCAAATAATAACTATAAGGTGGTAATTCGTTGATAAAAAAATATTGACTTATAGGTCAAGTATATGATTTTATCCTTATGGTTAGCATTTATTAGAATTTATTCTAAAAATATCTAAAATCGTGTATTGGGAAGTACTCTTTAGCCACGTTCGAAAAAAAAATTAATATTGAGGTGCATGAAAACCGGCCAAAAGACATCCTTATCGCTGAAAAAAAGTCAAACAATGACTATATTGTCTCGTTGTACATAAATATTATCGTAAACATTATAGTACCGACTAGATTAGTAAAATTGAATACTAAAGTCTATAGGGTTAATAAAAATGGTTTAATTAACAAATCACACTTCTTGTATTAAAAAACAACCTAGATAAAAACAAAATACACTAGTACGATCCAAGTTTATTTGGCTAAAATGAGGTTGGACTCGTAGTTTTAAATTTTATATGAGATTATAAAAGTAAATGCGATCGTAATCGTAATTATTATTCATAATTTATTACGGTAACAAAATAACAATCACAACAATTGATGTCGTGAAAGCATTAACGACCTAACGACCTATTAATAAATTTACTATAATTTATATATTTTTAACGATTCTATTAATTAAGTATAATAAAACATTTTGAATAGTTTAATATCATGTAACAATAGTTAAATAATTAAAAAAATTGATCAGTAAGATAAATTAAACATTTCAAAAAATTTCAAAGACATATGATATGTAATCGAAAACATAAAGATATACCCGAGACTTTGAGTATTATGTATGAATACATTGATCTATTTATCTAATATATTAAAATTTCTATTAACTTAATTTAATACAAACAATAATAAAATAAAAATAATTAATTTTTTTTTATATAACAAATAACGTTATATAACAGTAACACATATATCCGAATAAACGGGGATCATTAAATCATATTCAGACAGTTAATTTGCAACTATGGTTGTAAAGTTAAGATTGACTAGTTTAGTTGCAATTGTGGATAACATTATTACTTTCGAAAGATGAAATGTGGTAAAAAGGGTAATTTGCATATGTCATCGGCAAGTAAGTGAGGACCAGATCAGTCAAGTCCAAGAAAAGGGCAAGCAAAAGTAAAGACAGAGAAAAATAATAGTGTGACGAGAGGCATAAAGTACAAAAACAACGCAATGAAATGAAAGGCTGACCTAAGCTTTACCAAAATATTTTCCCATTTTTTATGATGACATAAAGATCCCACAAGTCACAGCTTAACCCCACCTCAGAAAAGACAGACCCAACCAAGATTCACCGCTGCCATTGGTGCGTGTAGTTCACATACATCCATGCCCTGTGAACAACTGTATCTAACCTTCCTGAAGCAATAATAGAGTAAATTATAAATTAGTCCCTCTAGTTTTGAGAGACTAATTAATTAATTTTTTTAAAAAAACTAATTATTCTTGATCATTGTTCATTGCGCTTAATTTAACGTGTTTTTTTTTTAAAAAAAAAATTGTTCTCCTTTACTGTTTATATTGTATTTTTCTTTAAATGAAGTATTTGGATTATATTTTGCAAAAGGTATTTTAGTTAGAGGTAAAATATATACCATTTAGAATTTTTAATCATGAACATTTCGGGGCATATTTAAATAGAAAAATATTACTTTATTTTATAAAATATTTTCTTTTATTATCAGTCTTTTCATAATATATATTTATTTATTTTTAACAAATTAGAAAAAAATTAACAAAAAATTAAATAATGAGTATTTAAAACATAAAAGACTAAATTATTTATTTTTCAAAACTAAAAGGACTAATTTATAATTTCCTGCAATCAATCATCATCTTAACTTGGTGTTTTTTCCTTTCTTTCTTTAAAAACAAATTTCCCGCAGCCAAATCTCTCTCACATTCTTCACCTCTAACTCTCCGACTTTTAGTTTCAGTAGGATTCTTGCTTTAGCCTAAGTTTTGGATTCTCTTTTTCCTTTTCTTTTTTTTTTTTTGTTTGGTTTTTTTTTTTTTTTTTTAATTACAATACAGCGTTAGATTCAAAGCACTATAACACTGTGGTTAGTATCTTTCTATCTGTCTCTCTGTCCGTCTGTCTTTCTTCCTTCAAAAACCATAACGAGAACAAGAAAGAAACAAATATCCCATAATCTCAGGTTAGTTTACACTCTTTTTATTTTATGAACTTTTCTCTTTTCTTCGTCGTGTGCATAGATATGTGATATGTGATGTTGTTTGTGTTTCTTGTCAGCTACTTTTGAGGGTTCTTTATCTAATTTCTTCTATGTTGACATTTTGTTTTTCAACTCTGTCTTTGTGAGTTTTCTTTTTTCTTGCTTATTAATTGGTGCCCTTTTGAATTCTTTTGCTGTTAGATGAGTTTAATTCTTTCTGGGTTTCTCTCATTTCGAGTGTTTAAGACGAAGAAATCTATTCTTATCTTCAGTCGCGTGAGAGACTTTGGAGTCTGTTTCATGGTGACATGTCTATCAGGTTAAAATTTAGATATGTTCTTTTATGTTAACTGAATAAGAAGTGTAAAATAAGTTTAAAGCTTATGGTATATATTGACATGGTGGAAGAGAAGGTGGCAGTTTTGGTCAGAATTGCAGTTAAAGTATGTTGGAGCTTGGTTTCTGTGTGCTTGTTTTGTGGAGTTGTGATGGGATTTAAGCTTGAACAGTTGGTAGTTACTGATAAGGATATATAGTTTGTTGTCTTCGCTCCAAAAAAAAAAAAAAAAAGCAGTAACTGTTTTATGCTGGTGGAAGAGGCAAAGTAACACTGGTGATTGTCTTTAACTGGGAATTTTGCTGGTGGTGGCTTAGTTGGTGGGAGCTAATGCTCTTCACTTTATAGGTTGGCTGTGTTAGTAGCTGATGTGCCTTGTTTATGCTGCTGGCAGAGGCAAAGCAACAGCGGTGACTGTAGCCAGTGCTACCGTGATGTTGTCTGTTGTATCCGTCTATTAGTTGTGTGCTGTTATATATGTCTAGGTAACAGATTGATGATTCTCACAGTGAAGAATCAGGCAACATCTGAAATTTCAAGCAAATTTAAAGCAAGGATTTGGAAACTTTATTTCAAATTGATTAATTCAGTCGTTGCCAGTGAAGAAATTTGTAAAGGGTTTCGTCTCACCTTATTTCCTAATTTCTGAGTCCACATAAAGTCCCTAGGAGAACCCTCTTCTAGTTTTTTCAGCAATCAGTTTATGGAGCATGTTGGTTTTGGAGATACTTACATTTGTGTGACAAGAATTCCAATGGAGGATTCAGTTTCTGAGAGTACATGATGCTTGAGATATCTCACTGGTTGTGGATGTGTAATCATATAAGTCAGTACAGCTGAAAAGTTGAAACTGCTTTGCACTTTAGTTTTTTTTCCTGTTCAGTCTTAACTCCTTGTCTAATGTAGCGACGGTATATTTTGTTCGAACCAACAAACATCCATGCCCCATGATGCTTTGATTTTAGTACATGTCTAATGTTTTACATACTGTTGTTTTAGTTTAGGGCTAAGGTAGGAGTTTGACAATGGGCAAAGAATTTCTGATGCATAGAAGTCATATGGTGGGCGCCTATAATGAGTCTGCTTTTAGTCTTTGATGTATAAGTGATTCTAGATATTGCTTTGAACTGTAATCTGCCCTGTAACCTGTAGGCAGCTGAGGCATGCTGTACTTGCAAATTACTGATGTAGCTATTATGTCTGTGCTTAAATTCTTGTTCTATATTTATGCTAAATAATCAGTTGCCGATCAAATAACTAATCAGACCTCTATAAGTGTCTCAGCTAAGCTAGAAAAATGGATTCTCATGGGTTTTCTCTGAGGCATGCTGTACTTGCTAATTACTGATGCGGCTATTATGTCTGTGCTTAAATTCTTATTCTATATTTATTCTATCTATTTGGTTGCCTATCAAATAACTAATCAGACGTCTGTAAGTGTCTCAGCTAAGCTAGAAAAATGGATTCTCATGGGTTTTTTCGGTCAAATGAATTGTTTTATAACTTGTATGCAATTTTATTTATCAAAAAAGAACTTCTATACAATTTTTTCCTAGTGGAGTTCAATATACTGCTTGCTGATTTACAGGTTTCTCAGCAGAGAATTGTTTGCTATTCATTTAGTTAGAGACCTGATGGAGATGATTTCACTTCAAGATCTGTGTGGATTATGTGGCTTAAGTACCTGTCAAATTTAGCAGATAACTGATTGGCAGATCTTGTTACTGAAATGAGCTAACAATCCTATATATATATATATATATACGATTGCTGAAGCTAATTTTGTTACAGAAATGTAACACCTCAGTGCTTATCTAAGAGAAAAAAGGGTTCTGGATTGTGGTTGTTGTGATTGTTGGCAGATTTGGAACTTGATAAAACCTTAAACTTTGACCAGAGGCCTTTCACTTTGTTATGCTCTCAGATCTCACGATTTCGCAACCTCAACAGAACCTAAGTCTTTAGTTCTATCATTTCCATCTATAAAGGTTTTTCTTAACCGGTACAGCATATGGTAGGTAAACATTTGAAAGGTAGATGAAGGTTGGGCTGTCATCATGAATCACCATGGTGTCGTTTCAGTAACAAAAAGCGAGTCTAGAAAAGATGTCACAGATCCATTTTGCACTACCCTATTTCCAATCCAGAATTCTTTAAGCAGCGAATCAGATTGTCAAACTTCATTGACAAGTGAATATTCTTCTCCGCTCCCATCTCTTTTAATACGGACAGAATCTTTCAGTTCTCCAAATAAAATGCAAGTTTCTACAGTCCAACATCAAAAGTATTGTCTTGAATCTGGACCAGACAGCCCTCTATCTCCTGCTTCTCATGTCCAACACTCTAAGAGCACATTACAACGCTCCTCTGTGTTCTGTACCAGTTTATACCTGTCGTCTTCATCAAGCTCTGAAACTAATCGACAGCTTGGAAATTTGCCATTTCTTCCACATCCCCCAACATACAGCCAGTCTGTTTCTGCTGCTGATTCAACAAAGTCTCCACTGCTTTTTAGTGAGGATCTAAACAATCCATACAATGAGGAGCATTCAGATTATTTTATGAAAGACTTTCTTAATTTGTCTGGAGATGCTTCTGAGGGTAGATTTGGTGGTATGAACTGTGCAAGTGGCAATTTAGAACTAACAGAGGAATTGGATCTACAGTTTTTGTCTGATGAACTGGATATAGCTATCACAGACCATGGAGAAAACCCCAAGCTTGATGTAAGTGCATTGGAGCCATCATCAATCACATTCTGGTTAGAATGAATGTAATAAAAGTAGTTTTATTATACTGTAATTGTGTTGTCAAGCAGGGAGATCATCCATATTCTAAGGATATATTTTCTTTCCAGTACATGCTTTTCTGCTGATTAAAAAAATGGATGACTTAGATAAGATTTTCTTTTCTTATTCTCTCTCTCTCTCTCTCTCTGTTTTTTTCATCTGTGTGTGTAAGTTCTCTCAATTGAATGCAGAAAACAAGGTCTTTTCTACTTGTTTTACATATAGAAATGCCAATGGCGAACTGCTGCATTATCTTCATCTAATTTATGCCTTTCTTTGGATATGTTCTCTAGGAAATATATGGAACTCCTAAAACTTCATCACAACCAGCCTCGGGATTTGCATGCAATCAGGACTTTCCTTCTGTTGCTCCACTTGTTGATGCACTTTCAAGTCACCCCTCCCCTGGTTCATCCACTGCTCACAAGGCAAGAATGAGATGGACACCTGAGCTTCATGAACGCTTTCTAGAGGCTGTCAAAAATCTTGATGGGGCTGAAAGTAAGTAACCTGTGTTGCCTATTCCACCAAAAGACTGAGGCTTCTTTTCATTGGAAGGTCTCTATTGTGATAGTCGAACCACTTAATTATCTGAACTATGAAAAATATCTCAACAGGCATTTTTTTTTTTTTTTTCATTTCTCTTATTGATTATATGAGGTTCCATGGTTGCTTTGAATTGTAGAGGCTACTCCAAAGGCTGTGTTAAAGCTTATGAGTGTTGAAGGCTTGACCATCTATCACGTGAAAAGCCACTTACAGGTATTCAGTCTATATTATCTCCAGACTTTTGCATCCAATCTAAAATAGTCACTTTGACCTTAGCTCTGCATGCTTTAAATGTAAAATTTTTTACCTTCCCTTTAATTTTTTTCGTTTTCAGAAATACCGACTTGCCAAGCATTTGCCGGAAAAGAAGGAAGGTACCAAATCCATAATTCTAAATAAGTCATGCTTATCATTGCCACCATTATCATCATTACCAAATTCTTTTTCAGGAATAACTAAAAAATGTGCATATGATTCTGTGGTATAATTCATTGTGTGCTATAGTTATTTCATCCACCTGGCATGCTTAGATATTCTTTTCATCAGAACATTTTTCTACCTTATTTTTTGAAAGTAACAATGATGGGTGGCAGTGTTGCTGGTCTCTTTATTCTTTGTTGGTTTCTTCTCGTATCTCTGTTGATAGGTGATTATTTCAGGATCATGGGATCCTTCTCTAAGATATCCAGAACTTGAAGCGGGAATCAATTTGATCCTTTCTATATTTTACTTTTAAGTTTTCCATAGAGTAATCAGTTTTTGCTTTTATATATGCATGAAAGGGTATTTTTTTTTCTCCATTTTATTTCTGAATTGCTAAGATTTTTCCCCCTTTCTGTACAGAGAAGAAGGCTTCTTGCTCTGAAGAAAAGAAAGCAGCTTCAATTAACGTTGATGGTGATGGGAAGAAAATAGGGTTAGTACTAATCTATTTTACTTTGTTAATTTCATGTGGACGTCTGCCTTTTTGTTCTATCAAACACGTAATAATTTTTTCTCGTTTCATGTCTAGGACAATTCAAATCACCGAAGCTCTTCGCATGCAAATGGAAGTCCAGAAACAGCTACATGAACAACTTGAGGTATGTTATCCACCTAACTTTTGACTACCATCTGGTTTCTATCTGCTCTCTCTTGGTAAATCTTATAAATTGGTCTGCATCTACTATTATACTTTCTTCTTTGCGGTCCTGGGACTATCTGATAGCTTTTGCAGGAAGCTTTGGGTTGAGGCCATTAAAAGCCTCTCAATTTTCTCTTCTAGTTGAGGCCAATACCTCATGATAGTTGTTGACCCTTCCCTTCCCAAACATCTCCCTTGTTGTTTGCTTTTGCCTTCCTTCGTATGAGCAGATCAATATTCTATGTTGTCTGAATTTTCAGATCTTTGAGGTCTTCCCCTTAGGATAACGTCGTTATTTCGATATCCTTATGTAGGTACAAAGAACCCTTCAGTTAAGGATAGAGGAACATGCAAGGTACTTGCAGAAGATAATAGAGGAACAGAAGAAAGCTGGCAGTATTTTACTTTCTCCCAATAGCTTGTCATCATTGACCAGTCCACCTAAAGATTCTGAGCTGCCAACTCCGTCCCCATCAGCTGTTGCCAAGTCTAAAACTGACTCGTCGTCACCCCTACCTTCATCAAAGCATAAAGCCACTGACAGCGATGATTTTGAGAAACAAGCATCCGAGAAAAGGATCCGTCTTAAAGAAAATCAAGAAGAGGCTGTAGTTGAAGATCCTCCGGTACAATAACATTGGCCTTGCTACCAGTACTTGTAGTCGCAATTGTTTGCAAGTCTCCAAGATATACAAGTCTTGTAGAACTTCAATCCCTTCTTGTAAAATAGTATAATTGAACTGGGATTTGCTTGATTTGTATCTCATGACATTTTAGCTGTTTGAATGAATGGAAAAACTAGCATATCGAGTTGCCCGAGCCTGTTAGATATCCCTCGTTGCTGCCATGATAACTTTTCTGTGCAAACTACTTCAGTATTATGTTCAAGTATTATTGATCAGGGCCAAAGAATTCACTATCAAGACTACAATGTTTTAATTTTATTTTCTAGCAGACTAGCAGTGTCGCGTACCAGATGCGAATGTCTTTGTCAACCATAATGAGAAGCACTTCAACTGCCTCTACATATAATAAGAACATAGAAATAGTCTACTGCAGTGACTATTACCAACTGTAGCGTTTTCCTTTTTCTTCTTGCTTGCTGATTGGATGCTTAGCTAGACGATCAGCTACAATGTTTCCTACTCTATTCGCTCTAGCAAAACAAATAGATATAAATTTATTGACAGAGAAAGTAATACTGTTGAAATCAGAATTTAACTTCCAATGCTGATTTAACAATCCAATGAACTTTTTGAGTTTCTGACACCGGTTGGATCGGAAAAAAATGCATAAAAACGTCTCTCATGATTTCTAAGAACACTACTAATACATGAAGCATTCAGTTTCTTCATTAACAAGCCATCTATATTCTATTTCAGAAATCTGACATCTGATATAATCCATTCTTCAGCTATTCCATTTAGAATTTTGTTGGATTAACTGTGGATGTCATCTGAGAAATGGTCCAAACTGCATGCAGTTTAATGTGTTGGTCTTTTTGATTGAGGTCTTCTAATTAATTTATTCATTTTATGTGTCAGTAGGCCTTTCAATACTCTAGTGTCTCATATTCTTTTATCATTTCTCCTTCGTAGTTTTCACTGGCATATATCATGATCCGAAGATCTGTTACTCACATTGTGCATAATACCAAAAGGACTAGTCAGAAGTAAGAATTGTTTCTGGCTCCACGAACGGTCTGTGAGGGACAACCTCATACAAACTGTTCCTTAACCCTATCATAGTACCAAACTCTTCCCACTCAAATCTCTTTCCGCAATTCTGGCTTTTATACATTTATCATGATCCAAGGACACGCTAGCCACAATAACGGTTAACTCCAAGAGCCCTCGTCCGAAGTTTCATTGAGAATTCTCCTTATTGCTTATGCAGCCACGGTAACGGTTAGCCCGAAAGTCGAATCTCACCAACCATGGGATGAAAATCACCTTTATCCGAAACTTGGTCTAAAATTCCTGAAAAATTAGCTTTTTATGATTACATCGGAAACAATCTGGCAAAAAGTGGATTGCTCAGAGCAGGTTCAACAGACAACAGAGATGTTCTAAGGCTATTATTGTCCCATCAACACCAACTACGATTAGGGATGGCAATGGGGGAGGGGCGGGGCAGGGATGGCCATCCCCATCCCCACCCACCCGTGCCCCGTTCGGGGCATATTTTGCCTACCATCTCCGCCCCAAACGGGGCGGGGGGCAGGGGCGGGGTCCTGTGGGGCAGGTCAGATTGCCATCCCTAACCACGATGTCGGTTTAGCCATGGCTCATGCCAATCCTCCCCTTTTTTGCATACAACTACCTTTTCAAGCTATCATTTCTCTCTGTACACTAACTTAGATGTATCTACTAGAACGGTGCATGAAGCCATTGGACCATTATCCACCATCACTCACCATCGATGTTTCAGCCAAAAGTAAAGCCACCTCTTCATCAAATACTATTCCGAGGTTCCTACCGCATCATATTGTTGTTGGTTCGTCAGTTGGAGCAGTTGTTCTTCTGATAACTACAATGTATAGCGTCCTGCTTGTTCATGCACCAAGGAAACAGAAGACACCTCGACCAAGGTATGGCTATGAAACAGTCATGAAGTTTCTGTCTAACTGCCTGAACTTCTCAGATGATAAACACATACGTAACTTGTCTTTTTTAGAACAGCATAGGGATTCCCTGCCTGTGCAAAAGCTAGTTTCTTCCTTGAGTAATGCACATGGCGAAGCTGCTCACCGTTTCACATCCTTCGAGATTAAAGATGCTACAAACGATTTGGAGAAGAAAATAGGCTCTGGAGGTTTTGGAGTTGTGTATGGAAAAACGAAAGTCGGAAGGGAAATAGCAGCAAAAGTTCTAACTAGCAATTCCTACCAGGAAAAGCCAGAGTTTTTCAATTTCTGAAACAAGACTCGGACCCAAGGTTTTGGGGATGTTTGCCTTTTGCCTTTCCTCGTATGAGCAGATCAGTGTTCTCTGTTGTGTTCTAAACATGCATAGACATGCATTGAATGCAGACCTTCGAGGTCTTGGCCTTAGGATAACTTGTTTGTTCTTCCTATATCCTTTAATAGGTACAAAAAACAAAACCCCTTAAGTTACGAACACGCAAGATACTAGTAGAAGATAACAGAGGAACAGCAAAAAGCTGGCAGTGCCTAATGTTTCTAAGCTGCCACCTCCTTCCCCATCAGCTAGCTCTGAGTCTAAAACTGACTCGTCATACCCCTACCTCCATCAAAGAATAAAGCAACCGACATTGATAATTTCGAGGGAAAAAAAAAGCATCCAAGAAAAGGATCAGTCTTGAAGAACAGTCAGGATCAGCATTAGAAGATGCTGTAGTTGAAGATCCTCCCGTACTATAACATCGGCCTCACTACCAGTGCTTGTAGTCTCAATCGTTTGTAAATCTCCAAGACAATGCAAGTCTTGTAGACCTTCAATCCCTTGTAAAATAGTATAATTGATTTGAGATTTGCTTGGTTTATAACGAGATGAGACTTGTAATGAATCAATAAGAAAATATGTACTACACCTAAATGTCGTATGTAGAGTGATAAGAAAAAAAGTTTCTAATTCGTTAAGGGTTTTTTTTTCTACTTTTGGATTTTTTTATTTTTTTATTTTTTTTGGGTATGGCACTGAAAATTGATTGTTGGTAAGTTTTAAAAATCCGTTCTTTATTTTTTTGGGTATTGGACCAAAAGTTACTTCTTTTATCATAAACATGATTATTGAACCATCCCGTTAATTCAATATATGTTTTGTTTATGTATATTTATAAGAAGAAATAAAGGGCATTTTTTGTAGTTGAAAATGGAGTACACAACTCATGTGAGTCCTTGGCTAGTCCACTTATGCTGATGGTTACACATGACCCATGCATGATCAAACCACACCACCTCCAAATGGCACTTAAACACCTCATCAGCATGATAATCACCACCCCGTCACTGGTCTGGTGGCGCGTTAAGTTTTTGCGTGTGGAGTTAGGTTGTGAGTTAATGAAAGAACAGAACCGGCATCAGCATGCAAAAGAATACAACACTGATTCAAGCACGTGTCCTTATCGCCCTTCGGATTCTGTCAGTCAAAACCATTTTACGTTACAGACGAGAACACACAAAAATGAGAGAGGGATATAGACAAGCTGCAAATGAAAGAAAAACCAAGAGAGTGAGTGACTGATTCTTGGTGACCAATTTTCAACCTTTCTCTGTGAGCATTTCCCACTGTCTTAGCTTTCAAAGTCTGGACTCTACAAGGTACTTTTTTTCTTTCACCCTCTGTGTTGTTTTAGTCTCTTTAATGTGTAAATGTTTCTCATTTATACATATTTTTCTGGTGGGTAAGCTTTAATCTTAGTTGTTGTTGTTAGCCCCAAAAGGCTTTCTTCTTCTTTTTTTCACTCTCTGTTGTGTAAAGTTTAGGCTTTTATGTCTAAAGATGAATTTTTGCTTCTTTGTTCTCATTTCTTGTGCGTTTGTTCGAAATGGGCTTTACTTGAGAGTTATAAAAAAAGGTTTCTTGATTTCTGCAATTATATCCCCTTGAGTTGTTTTGTTGTCCATAAGTTAGTGTTAGAATAGAAAAGGAGTCTCCTTTTTGGTGGAATGGGTGCTTTCTTAGTACTTCTTTACTGTCCCTGAAATTTCATCGGATTTTGGTGATAAGGAAGGAAGGGTATTGGGGTTGGCCAAATTTGGGTAGAGTGTTTGTTACCTGAAATCTTCATGGTGCCTTAGTTTTTGAACCGCATTCACCTGAAGATTATTGGTGGGGAACAACGAGTACAAACTTCGTTGCCTGTTAGAACTTGAAAGTTAAAGCCTGAGGTGTTTCATGTTCCATTCTAAATTTGCTTGATATATCTTTTTATTTCCCGTTTCAGTGTTGGTTCTGTTTTTTTTTTCCCCCCAAATCCATTTCTTTAAGTTGTATTATGTTTTTCCATTACAGCTTTGTACCCATTCTAAAATTATTCAATTTGCCCTCTTGAAACTGCGAACTTTGTGTTTGTCCTTTAACATCTCTTTCTGTTTAAGATGATTGCCACTTCTGTCTCTCACACGCACATATTTTTTTTTATGTGGTTTCTGCAGCTGAAGCGTGCTGAGAACGCTTGATTTGGACTTTGGACATATTGAGGGCTCTCTCATAAATTTAGATTGATGACTGCTGGTGAATTGTCCATTAATATTCATGATCATGGTGCTTTTCTTGATGAGAAAAAGACAAGAATTCGATGCAATTACTGTGGTAAAGTGATGAGTGGTTCCTCCCGCCTCAAATACCACTTAGGAGGTATACGAGGGGATGTAGTGCCATGTGAAAAGGTCCCTGAATCTGTGAGGGAACCATTTAGAAACAAGTTGCTAGAAACTAAAACAACCAGTCTTGGCAAGGAAGTTCAGAATCTGTATCATTCAGATCTTCCTTGGAAGAGATATTGCTCCCCTGATTTCAATGGTGCTAAGCGTATGAAGCGTGATGCCAATCAAACTGCAGGTTGTGGGAGTGGAATGCATGCAGAGATGCACTCTGTGGTAGAAGATGACATGACTGAACATGTTCCAGCTAATAATAGAAGATTAGCTTCAAAATCAACCAGGAGTAGTGGAGCAGAGGAAAATGTATTGTCAAGGGAAGCTCAAAGATGCATTGGCAGATTCTTTTTCGAAACAGGTTTCGATTTCGGCACTTCCACTTTGCCTAGCTTCCAGAGAATGATAAATGCCACTCTTGGTGATGGTCAATCAGAGTATAAGGTCCCTGCTTTACAAGATTTGAAAGGGTGGATCCTCCATGATGAAGTACAAGAGATGAAAACATATGTAAAGGAGATTAGTTGTTCATGGGCAAGCACTGGGTGCAGTGTTTTGCTGGATGGATGGGTTGATGAGAAGGGTCGCAACCTGGTTAGTTTTGTTGTGGAATGCCCTGGGGGTTCGACTTATCTCCACTCAACTGATGTTTCAGCTATCGCTGATGATGTGAATGCCTTACAATTGTTGTTGGAAGGAGTTATTGAAGAGGTTGGGATTGACAACGTAGTTCAAATTGTAGCATCTTCTACAGTAGGATGGGTGGGGGCTGTAGGCAAGCAGTTTATGCAAAGATGCTGGCGTGTGTTCTGGTGTGTGAGTGCATCTCATTGCATTGAGCTCATGCTTGAAAAAATCGGGGCCATGGATTCCGTCAGAAGAACACTGGAAAAGGCAAAGATCATTACGAAGTTCATCTATGGACATATAGAGGTTTTGAAACTTATGAGAAATCATATAGATGACTACGACTTGATAAAGCCCTCCAAGATGAAATTGGCTATGCCTTTCTTTACCTTGGAGAATATTGTATCGGAAAAGAAGAACTTGGAGGAGATGTTTGAGTCATCTGAGTGGAAGACCTCAGTCTGGTCTTCCACTGTGGAGGGAAAGCGAGTGGCTCATCTGATCAGGGATCACACTTTCTGGAGTGGAGCTGAGATGGCTTCAAAAGCAACCGTGCCACTGCTGCGTGTTCTTTGCTTGGTTAGCGAGGCTGATAAACCACAAGTGGGATACATATATGAAACCATGGATCAAGTAAAAGAGACGATCAAAAAGGAATTCAAAAACAAGAAATCGGATTACATTCCTTTATGGACAGCAATAGATGACATCTGGGATACACATCTCCATAGCCCTCTACATGCAGCGGGTTATTATTTAAACCCATGTCTGTTTTATTCAACTGATTTCTATAGTGATCCAGAGGTTACATTTGGCCTGTTATGCTGTGTTGTTCGTATGGTATCACACCAGCGTACTCAACTTATAATAACGTTTCAGCTTGATGTGTATAGACATGCTAGAGGTGCTTTTGAAGAGGGAAGAGCAGTTGCCAAAGGAACCAATATTTCTCCTGGTAAAGACTCTTCCTTCCTTTTATTTTTGTTTTCCCCGTTCCCTCTAATCTTGATTGCTTCTCTGAGTTGGTAATGAACTAGATTTATTAACTTCAATGTCCCTATAAACTCAAACGCAGCCCAATGGTGGTGTACCTATGGGAAACAATGTCCTGAGCTGCAAAGATTTGCCATCAGAATCCTAAGCCAGACATGTGATGGTGCATCTAGGTATGGCCTGAAGAGAAGTATGGCTGAGAAGCTTCTCACTGATAGAAGGAACCATATCGAGCAACAAAGACTGAGTGACTTAGCGTTCGTTCATTATAACTTGCAGCTGAAAAACAAACGATTTGGTTTCGGTAGCAATGTTGTAAGTGAAGAGATCGATCCAATGGATGATTGGGTCGTGGACGAAGCACCACAAGAGATTGCGCCGGAAAATGGTGACCCTGGATGGATCGACTCAGCCTGCAGCGAAGCCATTGCAAATGTTGAAGGAAATTGTGGAATTCAAGTAAAGGAGGAACCCAGTGAAGGTGCATGAACGCAAAAATGAAGAAGATAGCTCCCTTTTTTTTTTTTTTTTTTTTTTTGCGCTTGCATTAATAGAACCAATACATCTTTTTTTTGTAATCGGCCTTCTGTTTCTGAAGTCTATCTAAATCTTACATAGGATGTTCATGTTTATTCTTCTCCTCCTCTTCTTCCACTATCTAATTTTGATGGCATGGAAATATATATATATATATATATATAGTATTTTTTTAGATAGCTTTCATATTAATGGATACTAAGTCCAATATTTTCTAGCTGGCTAGCTAGGTTTGCGTCGGATTACGCCTCGCCTTTAGTTGAGTAAAGGTTAGATTTTTTTAGCCATCAGTTGTCTGCATCCAATGGCACACCCAAAAAAAAAAAAAAAAAAAAAAGAGGAATACAATAGATTATGGAAAGGAATAAGAAAAATATTTGCATGATTCTAAAATCAAGGAAGTTAGAACATTTTAAAATAAAAGAAATATTGAGTTAATTATAATTTAATTTTTTTAGTTTAGCAAAACTAATTAATTAGTGCTCATTAGTTTAAAAATTATATATTTAATCATATGTTTTTTAAATCAGTTCTTTTTTACTTTCATTTTATTTTTACTTTTTTAAGAAATAGAAAAGGATAAAAAAAAAAAAGTAGATAATGGAAGGTTGAAGAGAAAAGATTGTAATTTTTTTTATAGGAAAAATGATTAAATTAAATCTGGTCAACATTAGTCAATAGACTTTTTTTTTTTTTTTCCTTATGGCTTGGAGACACTTTGTTTGTATAAACTACAGAAACTAACTTATAATTAACATATTAGCAATTTGTATCGACCTACTACAAGGAATTGCTTAATCAAGTTCTCGTATTGACTAAAATATTAATGTTCTATACTGAATTAATTTGTTTAATATGACATTTCTGCTAGTGATTTAACTAATAATATTAATTTAATCGCATGATTAGGCAACACAAGTCCTTTGACCGTTGACTCCATTTATGGAATCACTTCATATAGCTGTTGGTTCTGAAGTAGGCCAAACCTTGTAAATAATAATAAATAAATAAACAATAACAAGTATAGAATAATTGGTGAAATCACTTCAAATAGCCATCCAATCCCGAAATATGGTATCTCGTCCATTTAAAGTTGGATCCAAGTAATTTCCCATTTAATGTTTATCTAAAATATCTAATCAGAATTGATTTTTGGAATTCAACACAACCTTAACAAGAAAACCGTCCCCTTAAAGTCACTTCTCATGTTTGTTTGTTTGCAATATTCTCTATACAAAAATTCCATCAGACTTCATGTTTTGCAAGCCTTGGCTCCGAAATTGAAAAATAAAAAACAATAGAACCACAAGTTGTTGACTTAAGTGGGACACGAAGTGGATGATTGGCGAATTTCCTATCAATATATAGAATTTGAATCTTAAAATCATATTTGTTAGGAAAAATTAAATTTTTTAGTTTTTATTTCGAATATTTATATATTTGAATCCTAAAATCATATTTGTTAGGAAAAAATTAAATTTTATGGTTTTTATTTCGAATATGGTTAAGTTTATCTCAAATATAAAAGGAAGATACACGAGAGAAAAAAAAAGCAATCTAATTCCATTTTTTTTTTTTGGACTACCGTTTCTTAAACTCAAAGTTCCGTGTTTGGCCTTCTCAACAATTTTCCTTCAAAGAACAACCTCCAATTACCTTGTTCAAAAAACTAAAGAACCGCCCTCCCTTTAGACGGATAAACTCGGAACTTTGAAGTCTTAAACTCAAAATTCTTGCTTTTTGTAAGTAAGAATCCTAACTTAGAAACCCACTTCAAAAAATAACGAGACCTTTTGGAACATACTTAACCAAAATTCCCGAAAGAAAAGGAATTCAAAGCGTTGAATTCGGATACTACAACTCGGTTTTTTTCCCCATTCGGAAAACTGAAAAATCCTCGCCTTCGACACGAATTCGCCCTTTTTATAGTACCAAAAGATTTAGAGACTCTTTTTCTTGCTAGTCGTCCATGTACCTTTTTATAGTCAAAAGTAGGTGTCTTTTATGATCTTAGACGGTGGGTTTATAGTGTCTTTTGTGGCCATGTTTTTTATGCCAAAGAGAGGTGTGAAGGGTTTTTTTTTGGAGAATTTTTTGTTATATCAAAGGCACTTTATTTCATGCCTTCGTTACTCCGAATCTTCATCTCTTGACTTACGAGATTATTCTAATGCTAATTAGGTCTGGTGATCTAACTAATCAATGCTTTACTAGCTAGTAGTTATTGCTTCTTCCTTGATGACTCTCTTATATCGAAGCAAATTATTATTTTGCATTCTAGTATCGAAGCTGAATATTGGACTCTAACGGACACGGCTTAGAGCTTTTATGGCTTCATTGGTTGCTTCAAGATGTGGGCATTCAACAAACTTCTGCTACATTGGTTCATTGTGACAATCGCAATGCCATGCAAGCTGCTCACAATTATTTTTTTCATGAACTTATAAAAAATATTGAGATTGATTATCACTTGGCATGTCATCATGTTATCCAGGACATTATCTACCTTGTTTTAGTCTTCTCTCAAAATCATACGGTAGACATATTCACCAATCCACTTTTGAATCATCGATTGTGTGATCTTGTTTGCAAACTTCATCTATCAGAGTCCTTACCGCCTTGAGTTTGAGGGGGATGTTAATGAT